AGGTCCTTAGTATTTTCTTAGGTTGTAATGGTCACCTCAAATCTTTCAGGTACCATTACAAGGATTTTCTCAACGATCCTTCAATAGTTAAAAGTGGAACCCAACAATCTTACATGATTGCCAATGTTAAGAAGTCGCTCGGTGTATTCCTTTATGGTTTCACTGTCCTTCATCTTTTGCATATCAAAATCACGTACTAAATTCAACACTTGCATTTCTCTCATATCCTTCATAATAAGCCTTAAGATAATCACGTACCTCTTTTGCCACTTTAGAGACATGATATGAGTGAAGACATTATATGAAACTGCATCAAATAAACATGCCTTTGCCTTTGATTTCCTAATTTTCCTTTCTTGTTGATTTTTTATTTGCGCCATCGTTGAATTGTTTGAAAAGGGAGCAATGGTGTATTATCTTCTAAAGCCTCCCAAAGATCCAAATCTTCCAGATATGCTTGCATTTTAACAGTCCAGATTCGATAACTTTCTCCACCAAAAGTTTGTGGTGTCATTGAAGAAAAACTTGCTTCTCTGTTCATGGTATTCACGAAATCTGATTGGCGCCCACACACACAGTTCCCTTAAGAAATAAAGCTCTTGAGACTAATTTTAGTTTTTAAAAACCTGTTTAAGCTAAGTAACACAGGGAAATCAAAGTTTGCACCTAAAACACAAAAGACGAGAGAGAATAGAATTGAAGCAACATAAGAGAAATTTTATTGATGCTTTAGTTTAGCTATATAAAAGCCTAGAATGAATGTAAAAATAATAACACACGATTAACAGTCACTAAACAAATCCTAAATAATAGAAAAGCATGACTAACAACTAATTGACTAAGTCTTACTTAAATATAGTCATAAAAATTAAATTTATTGCAGTTCAAAATCATATTCCTAATAGCTAGAATTGAATTTGCAACTTCAATTCATATGACTGAAACCATTTCCAAACAACTTTAAACCTAGAAATTAACAATACCCACAATATAATTTGTGTATTTGATTGCATAATCACACGCCTAAGGTAATGGGATCTCCCCAAGCATAACAAAATGTTAGTGAGAGTAACCAAAAAACTGTTCCATCAAGACACCTGTAACACCTCTAAAATGAATTACGTGAAGCTAGAACCTAACATATGTTTCATGAGGTTATAAAGTCGTAAAATTTTTAATAATAGTGTTAGAATTCAGTTTGAGGAGTTTGGAAGTGAAACGTCCAAAATGTATGGAAACTAGTTGAAGTTGAACTAGTTTGTCTTAACGTTTTGTAGTGGAGTTTTGGGGTATGATTTTGAGGGTGAAATTGAGTATCAATGATTTCTGTGCATATCTTGACATGTAAAGGGTTGAAACGTTCGATAATGATGCCTCGAGGACCAGCCTAAGGGTCCCCAAGGAGGACCCAAACATGGGCCTAGAGAGCAGCCGAGGCAGCCCAGATTTGGGTGTGGCTGCGCATTTTGCCAGATACAATTAAAAGGGAAAAAGTTTTCACTGCGACACGTGGCCATAATGAACCATTCTATCTTAAAATTTTGCAAAACCAAGAATCAGAGGTGACCCCGCAACGCGCAGTAACCTCCCAGATTTATTCGCATCATTTCTAAGTCAAATTAGGATTGGTTAAAATGTCTATTAAGTGTAGGTGTATTTTCGGTCATTTGGGGATGAATTATTGACAATTATTGAGTCTTTTTAATCCCTTGAACTTACCAATCAAAGATAAACCCTCAACTCAAAACAAAACCTCTCCATTCCTTTTATCCAAAAATCTCCATTGATGAAACTTTGAAGCTCCAAGGAAGAAGACTGATTTTCCAAGTTTTTCTCCATAAATTTAGTGTGGTGTCTCATACTTGGATTCTCTTCCATTAAAGAAGTCAATTTCAGAGGTTTTCAAAGATGATAAAAAACCATGAAATCTTCTATTTCAACATTTAGTTAGTGGTTCTTGCATAAAATGTTTTGAATTAATGAGTTATGATTAAATTGATGTTAGTTTGATGGTTTTAGACTAAAAACTCCATGAACCCATGCAAAATCATGAAATCCTTATTTTGACTATTTTATGGGTGATGTGATCATATTTCTATGGTATTTAATTCTTGTGTAGTTTACATTGGGCTATTGAATTATGTAAGAAGCATGTTAGAATTGTATATAGGCTATCCTAATTTGATGAATTTCATATTATATCATCTTAGATCATTATTGATTTGAATTGGTGATTATGACTATTGATAAGAGCCTTTGTGGATTGAATTGGCTATGGATTGGAGTTGTTGATGTTGAAATGGTGGTATGTTTACCTAACCACTTCTATATTGTGTTTTATAGGTGTTTTAGTTGTGATGTTTGGTATGGTCCACTTATGGTGGCGGTGCTTATGTGATATATTTTTGAAGAGTGTGGTCTCGTCGGCATTACTTTATATATTATGGTATTATCATGTTATAACTTGTACATGTAATCACTGTGAAGGTCTATATGGATTATGTGTGTACGTGAAGTCAAATCATGTGTCATCCTAGTTGATGATATGTGTGTATAGTAGGCTGTGGTGATGCCTTAATGTGTGTTGCTTGATTTTGATGTATGAATATTCCTAGTTGACTATATGAAATTATGAAGGGTTATTTTTGATGCTTCTATAGAGATGTGTAGGGTGAATTGTAGTATACTTCGTTAAACCTATATTCTACTTGAATAATATTGTACATGTGATAAGAAGATGATATGTGTGTCTTGTTATGATAGAACTATGTCCCTCTACTTGTTATGAATAATGTGCATATGATTCTTGACCAACTAGGCTAAATCACCTTTGTCATTAATGTGTATGTTTGATTGAAATATGACTTAAAACATAGTTAAGAGGGTCATTTATGTAGAACCTTCAACCTAGATAGAAGGTTATGATATCTTGAAGTTGAAAGCCGTAATGGTATCCTTCTTGTGTGAATGATGGAATTAGGGGTTGGTTTGATGGAACGACATGAAATCATCATTAGGAAAGTCATGACGCTATCCTATTTGGCCATTGTGTGGAAGCCCTAGTGGATCCCTTTAGTAAGGTGTATTGTGATTTGGTTATGACTTCTATATGGTACCTCTTCATATTCCCTTGTGATTGAAATACTAAATGAGAACAAAGGCTAGAACCGAGTGAGTATGCATGTGGAGTAGATCAAATTAAGATTATATTAGAGTACAAAGAAACCCTTGATTTTATTTAACCTGACCAACATGAGATATGTCCTAGTTCTACCATTGGCAAGTAGAACACCTTCTATCAGAGTAGGGTTTGTCTCTGTATTCCATGCTTAGCTAGTATCGTCTATCCGGTTTTTGCCTATTCTTATCATGTGAGATATATTCTCATATTTGATAGGTTCTACAAAGTTTAGGTAGTGGAATGGGACACTATCTAGACATTGCACGAGTAGGCTTTGAAGATGCTAGCGTGTAGGTTCCCTATGTCTTCTCCAAGACCATTATGTGAATGTCCTTAATTTTTGAACGTCTCTTAAATGGACTACTGAACATAAAGACTAAGTTAAATTCATGTAATTGGAAAAGTACTTGTGTGGATTAGCTTTAAGGATTGCTTAGGTAAGCTTGAAGAGGGTGTATGGGCGGTCTCTTCTTACTTTACTAAGGTGAGTCTTAGAGTACTTTTGGTAGGGTTTTACTTGAATATAATGAATAATCTTGTCTTCGGAATCCTTGAGGATCTCATAGGTGTATGTGAAGGGGTTGTAAGGGCAGCCACTTCATATTTCACTCAAGTGAGCCTTAAGAGGACCTTTGGTTGGAGAGTCTCATGTTTATGCGTTTAGAAGTGATCTTGATGCTATATTGCGGAATTTGACTTATATGTGTCTATGTTGACTTGTATGAACTCTTATACTTGTCTTATGAGGTTTTTCTAAAAAAGAGCATGTTTTATACAAATGTCCTTATAGCACGGTTTTAATTGCATGTTGCCATACTTAGTGCATTCTAATGTAGTAATTTGACATACTTTATCTTATCTCTAAAGGTGTAGGTAGCAATTAATAGGAGTCTTTGAAGTGAAGCTTAGATAGTAGCATTCATTCAAGCAAAGTTGGGGTATGTCCTCAATAGATTCGAGGACATCACTATGTTTAGTTTTCTTGTTAAAGACATTATAGTAGACTTAGATATTTCTATTTTTTGATGTATGTGCCATGTCCCAATATATTCGTGTGTCTAAGATGGAGACTTGGAGACTTAGTATTTCCTATGATTCTATGGAAGATATTTTAAATTACTATTCTTTCATGTGAAAATATTTAATTCCATAGTACTTTTCGTACATGTATGAGATGAATGACGTCAAAGGGATTGTACAAAACTTCCGAGAGGTCAAGTATGCCGTGTTACGATCTGAGGGAATGCCATAGCTTCTAGGGTGTGCTCTCAGTTTTGTGACAAGTTATATCATAGCATAGTTAATGAAGTAGTCTTTAGGAACCCGAAGTCTCATTAAATCTATGCCTTGTAGTGTTTTGTCCATCGGTGTGAGTCGCGACACATCTATGAACGAGAGTCTATAAGGAGATAGAGTTTGACTTTTTTTATCAATCTTTTGTCGTGCCAATAGAGTTGAGGTTATAAATGTCTATTCCTAATCTTTTCTCTTATGATTATTGGAGATGACTACAAGAAGAATGGACGCAAAAAGGTTGGAATAGGAAGGAGTGCAAGAGGGAATTCCCCAAGGTGGATTGGATCCACACGGAGTTGAAGATCCCCAAGGTGTTCAAGTTCTTCCCCTTGGTGATCAAGTTCCTATTGGAGGTGAAGTTAATAAGGTTCTGGTGGTTCCCCCTGACATGACTAATGGGGAGATTAAAGAGTCTCTACTTGCTTTGGCCCGATCCATGACTACTCATGTGAATAGGGGTGCTTAGCCTAGGGTGAATGCTATAGAGAGTACCATGACCTTTAGGTTGAGATATTTTGTGATAATGAATCCTCCTATCTTTAGTGGCTCTAAAGTGGGAGAGGACCCCCAAAAGTTTTTTGATGGTGTGTACAAGGTGTTGAGTACTATGGGGGTGACTTTTAGGGAGAAGGAGGAGTCGGGTTCATACCAATTCAGGGAAGTTTCTAAAGTGTGGTACACTCAATGGAAAGATAATAGGTCGGTTGAGTCAGGTCCTATAGAGTGGGAAGAGTTTAAGGAGGATTTCTTAGGAAAGTACTTCCCCCATGAGAGGAAGGAGGTGAAGGTGAAGGTTCAAGAATTCATTAACCTTAGGCAAGGGAACATGAGTGTGGAAGAGTATTCATTGAAATTCACTTTGTTGTCTAGGTATGCTCCATCCTTGGTGTCTATCCTTAGGGATAAGATGAGAAGGTTTGTGACTGGTGTTGCCGAAATTGAGAATGAAGAGTGTCGTATGACCATGATCCACAATGGCATGAATATGTCTAGACTTATGGTGTATGCACAATCCATTGAGGAGTCCAAGCTTAGTATGATTTCAAGGAACTTGAAGAGGGGTACATCCGATGAGCAAAACCAAGCTAGGCTCAAGAAGATGGATCTAAACCAATATGGACCTAGTTCTCGTAAGGTCAAGGTTGAGAGTGGTCACAGTTCTCAAGGTGTTAAGTCTACTTGTGCTAGGTGTGGGGAACAAGCACTTTGAGAAATGCCTAGCCGGTACCGGAGGTTGAGTTGGTTTCCTACTATTACTACTAGAGGAAATGAGTCTAATCAATCTCTTTCAAGTGTTCTGGAAGTTGATGCACCAAAAAGGAATCACTTCTATGCTCTCCAAGCTATGGAAGCAAATTCGGGTGATGATGCCGGTAAGTTATAGTCCCTCTATTTAGCAGTAATGGGTTCCTTTTAAGTGGGGGAGTATGGTGAGTAGTAAAGTTGTGTTTTTTTGTCTCTTCACTTCTATTCAATTCAAGATTGAGATTTAGAATGTTATAGTAGCATGTTACATATTGCATTTCGTGAAGAAGTCTAGTTGAAATTGAATTTCATTGATTCCTTCCATTGTGAATTTCATGAAGTTATGTATATGTGGTAAAATGAGTTTATATGGTTTTATTTTTCATATTGCCATGCCTGCATCATAAATTGCTTAAGAGTTGCATTATTGAATGTTTGAGCTTGATAATGTGTAGAGACGGGGTTCCTCCTATATGAGATGAAGAATGTGAGTCTTATTGCATGATGAGTTGTAGATGTAGTTTCTATCCTTTTTTTTGTGTGTTTTTAGTCTCTTGATGATGTTGAATTGATGTTTTCCCCTATATATGTGTGTATTGTATATGGTGTGGTATGGTTATGAGCTGCTAGTCTTAAGTCTTATCTCTTGAAAGTGTTTAAAATGAAGCAAGAGTCATTCGAGGACGAATGTTGTCCAAGTGGGGAACAATGTAACACCTTTAAAAATATTTAGTTAAATCTAGGACCTAAAATGTGTGTCATGAGATTATAGAGTTTGAAAATGGTTAATAATAGTGTTAGAAGTCAGTTTGAGGAGTTTGGAAGAGTTTGTAAGTGAAACATCCAAAACTTCAGGAAACTAGTCGAAGTTGAACTAGTGTGTCATAGTGATTTGTACTGGAGTTTTGGGGTATGGTTTGAGGGTATAATTGATTATCGATGGTTCCTTTGCATAAAATGACATCTAAAGGGTCGAAACATCTGAAAATGATGCCTTGGGGACCAACCTAAGGGTCCCTAAGGAGGACCCTAACATGGGCCAAGCAAGCTACTCATGCAGCCCAGATTTGGGTGTAGCTACGCGTCGGGCCATCTACACATAAAAGGGAAAAAGTTTTCCCTGTGATGCGGGTCCATCACGAACTATTCTGTCTTAAAATATTCCTGTTTTATAATTAGAGGTGACCCCACGACACGCAGTGACCTCCCAGATTTTGTCGCATCATTTTTAAGTCAAATTTGAATTGGTTAAAATGTCCATTACGTGCAGTGGTATTTTGGATAATTTGGAGATGACTTATTGACGGTTATTGAGTCTTATTAATCTCTTAAACTCACGAATCAAAGCTTAACCCTCAATTCAAAATAAAACTTCTCCATTCCTTCTCTCCAAAGCTAAACCCTCAATTCAAAACAAAACTTCTCCATTCCTTCTCTCCAAAAATCTCCATTGATGAAGCTTCAAGGAGGAAGACTAATTTAAAAGTTTATCTCCATCAATTTAAAAAGATTTTGTTCACTAAAGGTATGTTGTTTCATCCCTTAGATTCTCTTAGAGTCAATTTTAATTGTTTTCAGAGATAATAAAAAATATGAAATCTTCTATTTCCACTTCTAGGCATAGGTTCTTGCATAAAACATTTTGAATCAATAATTATGATTGAATTGATATTAAAAATTGATGATTTTAGACTAAAAACTGCATGAACCCATGAAAAATCATGAAATTATTGTTTTTGACTATTTTATGGGTGATGTGATTATAACTCTATAGTCTTAAATTCTTGTGTAGTTTACTTTGGGCTATTGAATTATGTAAGAAGCATCCTAGAATTGTATATAGGCTATCCTAGTTTGATGAGTTCATATTGTATAATTTTGGATCATTGTATAATTTTCTTATTGTTTTGAATTGATGATTATGACTAATTGTAAGAGCCTTTGTGGATTGAATTGGCTATGGATTGGAGTGGTTGATGTTAAAATGGTGGTATGTTTACCTAACCTCTTCTATATTGTGTAGTATAGGTGTTTCAATTGTGATTTTTTGTATGGTCCACTTATGGTGGCGGTGCTTATGTGATATATTTATGAAGAATTTGACCTCTTCAGTATTACATTATGAATTATTAAGTTGTATATGTGATCACTGTGAAGGTCAATATGAATTATGTGTATATGTGAAGTTAAAGCATTTGTTCTTCTAGTTGATGATAGATGTCTATAGTAGACTATGGTGATACATTAATGTGTGTTGCTTGATGTTCAAGTATGAGTCTTCCTAGTTGACTATATGAACCTTATGATTAGTTCTGTTTATGCTTCTTTAGAGGTGTGTAGGGTGAATTGTAGTATACTTCGTTAACCGTATATGCTACTTGAATATATTATACATATGATAAGAAGATGATATGTGCGTCTTGTTGTGGTAGACCTATGTCCCTCTACTTGATACATGAAGAATATGAATATGATTCTTGAATTAGTAGGCTAAAGAACTTTTGTTATTAATTTGTATGTATGATTGAAATATGACCTTGAACATAGTTAAGAGGGTCATTTATTTGGAACCTTCAACCTAGATAGAAGGTTATGATATCCTTAAAGTAGAAAGTTTTAATGATACCCTTCTGGTGTGAATGATGGACTTAGGGGTTTGTTGGCTGGAACAACATGAAATCATCCTTAGGAAAGTCATGAATCTATCCTATTTAACCATTGTTTGGCAGCCCTAGTGGACCCCTTTGGTAAGATGTATTATGATTTGGTGATGACTTTTATATGGTACCTTTTCATATGCCCTTGTGATTGAACTACTATATGAGAAACAAAGGCTAGCGCCGAGTGCCTATGCTTGGGGAGTGTCTCTAATTAAGATGAGATTAGAGTACAAAGGAACCCTTGATATTCCTTAACCATGTGCCTACATGGTATGTGTCCTAGTTCTATCATTATCAAGTAGATTACCTTCCATCGGAGTAGGGTTTGACTCTGGATTCCATGCCTAGCTAGTATAGTCTAAGTTGGTTATTGCCTATTCTCATCATGTGGGATACATTCTAGTACTTTATAGGTTCTACAAAGTTTAGCGAGTGGAATTAGACACTATCTAGACATTGTACGAGTTGGCTTTGAAGATGCTAGCGTGTATGTTTCCTAGGTCTTCTCCAAGACCATTATGTGAAAGTCCATAATTGTTGAATGTATGATATAATGAACATAGAGACTAATTTAAATGAATGTAAATGGAAAAGTACTTGTCTAGAGTAGCTTTAAGGATTACTTAGGTAAGCTTGGAGATGGTTCATGAGAAGTCTCTTCATATTTTACGTAGGTGAGCCGTAGAGTAACTTTAGTTAGGGTTTTGACTGAATATAATGAATAATCTTATCTTAGGAATCCTTGAAGATCTATTAGGTGTTTGTGAAGGGGTTGTAAGGGCGGTTGCTTCATATCCCACGCAAGGGATCCTTGGGAGGAGCTTTGGCAGGAAAGTCTCATGTGTATGTATTTTGAAGTGATCTTGATTCTATATTGTGGAATATGACTTATATGTATTTATGGTGACTAGTGAGTGACTCCTATACTTGTTTTATGAGGGTTTTCTTAAAAATAGCATGTTTTATAAAAATGTCTTCTTAGCATGGTTTTAATTGCATGTTGCCATACTTAGTGCATTCTAATGTACTAATTCCATATATTTTATCTTATCTCTAAAGTTGGAGGTGGCAATTGATAGGAGTCTTTGAAGTTAAGCTTGGATGTTAGCATTCATTCATGAAAAGTTGGGGTATGTCCTCAATAGATTCAAGGACATCACTATGTTTAGTTTTCTTTTTAAAGACATTGTAATATACTGACATATTTCAGTTTTATTGATGTATGGTCCGTGTCCCAAGATATTCATGTGTCTAAGATGGCAACTTGGAGACTTAGACTTTCCTATGATTTTATGGAATATATTTTGAAGTACTATTATTTCGTGTGAAAAGTTTTAATTCCGCACTATTTTTCATACATGTATGCATTGAATGATGTTTAAGGTCTTGTAGAAGACCTTCGAGAGGTCAAGTACGCCATGTTACAATCAGAGGGAATGCCATATATTCTAGGGTGTGCTCTCGGGTTTTGACAACACCAAAATCGTTAGTTGTCATACCCAAGTATTCTACTTATTTGGACACTGTAATGACCCGCAAGTACACCCTAGAAGTTAGCGCATCCTTTAGTCGTCACACGACATACTTGACCTATCGGAGGTCTTGTACAAGCCCTTAGACATCATTCATTGTATATATATACGAAAGTAGTATGAAATTAATATCTTTTTATTCAAAAACATAATTCTAAAGTCATTTCATAAAACGTCTAACATACGTCTCAAACCATCTATAACAACATGAATCACAATAGTCTTGGTCCCAACCCATAAAAGTCTAAACATAATGAAAAACATAAAGGAACATAGTGGTTGTGTCCTCGGATGCTACGTAGACTCACCAATATTCGCTACTTGGAAACCTTGGAAACTCTACCCTTTCAAGCAACTCAATCTTGTCAAGACCCTACATGGATGACATGCAGGCAATATGCGTTAGTACGATATGTACAAAGTATGGAAACTATCACACCAAACATAAGATATCTCAAAGGGTTAGTCAATAATAGACATAATGATAAGAGATAAAGACATAAGCATATCATGAATATCATAAGCATATTAAAACCTCGTTACACATATAAGAGTTCATACTTAACTCATTGTGTTACTTACTTAAGTGAACTACATCACAAAATATCCCAAGTATACTTGTGTAGGGCTAAGGTAGCATCCTATACTAGTACCGAAGCTAAGTACCTCTTTTTGGTCATTCTTGATCATAATTCACTTTCATAATTGAGACAAAAGTTCATCATAACATATGAGCACTATTCCCCTAAGCCACCTCAAATACAATTGTGTAG